GAGAGCATTGATGCGGCTTTACCAAATCGAAAGAATTGATGGCTTCACCTCTGATTATTTAAAGTCTGTTTTAATTACAGCACTGACCAACTTGACTCAATATGTAGTGGTGCCTCATTATAAAACCTCAAATCTAGTATGCTGAATGAAGCTGTCTTTCCCAATTTGCCACCCATAAGTCTTCGGGTAGCCAGCTTAGATGAGAAAGACATATTTCTCAATCTTCGTTGGGTATTGGTGGCTCAACCCATATAAATGTCTGCAAATATCTACTGGTGTGAAAATATCAAACGGATATATTTTTGACACACGCGTCGGCAATTTGTATCAGCCTATTTGTCTCGAGAGTGTATTGAAAGTCGTGAAGTATCATATATACGTTCTTTCGGAAAGTCGCGTTTGGAAATATCGATATTGTGGATTATGTAGACCGCTGAGCTAAATGGCTCGGTTGCTTCAGAGCGACAAGATTACCGGTGAGTATACATCCAACTTATTCTTGAACAATATTTTGTCTACATACTTTGCTAGATGCCATTGTGTAGTAGTTAGCAAACACTGTTCGAAATACCAGATTGAGCATGTAAACCGCTGACCATCCGCATACACGTGGTCAGACAGAACACATATAGAGCTGGATGGAGAATAATCTTCGAAGCATTCTAGTGGAGAGGTCACGGAAACTGAGTGGCTTCCTCTAATTCATTTCGCTTGCATTGAAAATCGCACTGCACGCATCTCAAAAATATATACTTTGAATGGGTTGGCAAACCCCTCGTCACAGATTACGACCTCTCAAAGTCAGTCCAGCTTGGTGGGGAAGGGGATTTGACTTTTTTGAATCGGCCCGATTGCACTTCGAAGCAAAGTCTCAGAATTCTGTTTCATTAGACCGAGCACCACAAACCAGGTGCGCGACGCAATGAATGAGTGCAAATGTGAATTTACTCAACAAATCGAGTCAAGAGGCAGGCAAACCATTCGCAAATATGTGGTTTGGCACATATTTCGTTGACATAAGTAAGCCTCTCAATACCACGTGGGCTACGTAACTAAGATACAGCCACTGTTCACCTTCAAAGCAAATCGCAATAAAGTCTAGCATTTCATAGAAAACATTGACACAAAATGTGATCCGGTGAATTCATCAAACAAGTATCGATTTTGCTCTCATGAATCAGTTCAAGGTGAAGTGCCTTACAGTAGACTAAGAAGCGTTTCGTCCACCCCTTAAAGATGAAAGGCATGCTATATGAACCTTGACGATAAATTGGAAATCGGATAAGCTGTTAGGATGAGCAATGCAGCGCCGGCGCTTAGATAGTGCATTCGAGACGTTAAACATGTGAGATGCACACATCCAGACTAGTGGTGGCACTCGATATGCTGCCACAACTGAAAAGTTCACGAGCGATAGGATCGAGAAGCTGATCTTACGCCAGCACAGCGCGGTGAGCATAGGTCACAACGTTTTTGAATATATTGGGTATCCCAGGACTGCTGCCAGGTTGAAGGGATTCTATCACTTATAGCGTCTGAAATCTCACACTTTTGATACCAATTTCGACTTCGCGAGCCTTGTGTGTTTTTTTCATAATAATTAAAAAGGAAGAGGCAAATCTACTGGTCGCAGAGCGCTTCCCACTGAAGAGTAAGGACTGACCTTGTTGCAAATTTGGCTTGCGGTAGATAGCTATCAAAGCGGCTTCGCGAAAAGCAGTAAAATGATAAGGAGTAGAGGTTATTATGATTCATCTCGACGTCTGCGTTGCACCAACCGGCTCTCAATCGGATGTCATCTTTACTGAAGCTGACGTGCAAAGCGTTAAGGCGGGTGCGAAGGCGTGTCGACTAAACCCAGTGCCATAATCGAGTAAAGTTCTTCCGTCACTATCGCCAGATTTTGATACTCAAACTTCATCCCTCGCGGCAATACTGGGGGCTCACAGCCGCTGCAACTTTGAGGGCTGGCTGTGCCGTTTTAAGTGTTAAACTCCGAGTGAGTAGAAACCGCTCGTCGGTCTCTTGACACTTGTTTGGCTCTCGGTATGAATTCAAAGGCACGCACATAGAAGTTTCACATCAGCGGCCGCGCCTTTTGATAGTTTGGAACCAAGGTCATGGCGGGAAAATGTTGGTGTAACTGTTACGCCAAAAAAAAACAAGCGGAAGCATTCTGTGCCAGGTTCGGCTCATTGTGGACATCGTTGGGAGCTCCTCAGTGAAGTGTTATTATAGTACTCGCCATCAGAGAGAGACATGAAGTTATAAATTCGTATAGATGGGAGGCGAAGCGCTATGAACGCCTTCTTTCCAAAAAAGCGGATTGAACGAATGTATACAGGTTGAAAAGAGATTGTCGGATCAGGATCGGATAGTCGCTGCTTCTGCTTTAATCAGATAGCATCTCGGCACCTTCGCCAGGTATGACATTGCGTTTGTCGGTCGCGAGGAGCACGCATTATTGGAGGCATGCTGAGTCATATGAAGATGTACACAGTCTAAGACTCTCGACACAAGTGCGTTTTTATCAGCAGACACTATGCATCGTGGAAAGTGGAGTAAAGCGCATTGGCGCTCATTAAGCGCTCTTTTCAGTGGAACGTAACGATAAAAGAAGTGTGGGCTTCTGCACCGGGGCTTCCGTAGCTCTTTCGCTTTGAAGAAGCTTGGTTAAGCTCGGTGCCTTTCGTCTTATACTTAGAACTAGTACGAATGTACGCGGATCGCAATCCGCTTAGCTAAGGAGTAATTATAATCTTAATTCAAGGCTAATGAACTCTCCTGTTTAGAAAGTAGACTGGATTACTTGGTTATATTTGCGGTAAAGCCGACTATATCTAAATCTATATGATTTCCTCTCTGTATATAAAACCGAATTAAATGTATAACTACTGGCTGTTGTAGCCACGTAAACACTTGTTGTTTCAATGCAACCACACAATTGCATGGTCACACAATCGTGTATAATCACACCATCTTGAGTGACTCACACCCTAAAGTGCACCTGTCGCCTTAACTGAGGCTCGCATGTTTAAGACACCACAACATCACCAGGACATTTACAAATTCTTTGTTCAATGAGCTCTGTGTCAAGGACACGGTAAATATCCAGCCTCGCTGGTTCACAGAATATCCGCGGGCAGAGTCCATCTTCATCTGCTGCACGCGGTGCATCTTCGGACAGTACGTCCGTGGCTTCAAGGGAAACGCACACCAAGATCTCGGTAACCGATTACCACGCAGCGCATTGTCAGCGACAGGGTCGCACGACCAAGCACACAGACGCGATGTGTATTCCCGACCGCGCACAACCCGCCATGGGTGATAGATCACCTAGTTGAGGATTTGGAGAAAGTCGACAACAGGTCAAACACTCCTTTCCCAGGATGGAAAGAAGAAGAGGCGAGGTACCACAGCGGCGCGACGTGAGACCTGCTCGAATCTTGCGGACGCCGTGTCCGTTCCACAACCTCTCGACATCCGGGGGAAGTGGTGTCATCACCGATCATCTCGACTAGGCACAGAAGCAGTGGCTGAATGCTGTCCACAGGGCGGCTCTCATACGCTCGTATTCCCGGGCGGGCGCTTTACCCTCGTGTGGAATACACCTCCCCCTCAGCGAATCCCACTTCAGGAGCACAGGACGCGATCGCTCGATCGTTGGTCATCTATGTAATCGAGCCCCCGGTCACTACATAAGCTCAGCTTGACGATCAAAAGCTCTCCGAGCTCACTTCTCGGTTCTTCAAGAAATCCCGGTGAAAACGAAATGCATTCGACTTCAAGCTCAAAGTGGAGGCGCTCCTGTACCCGCGATGTGGACAATGCCTGTGGTGCTCGCCCCTGGCAAAGTCCGTGAAGATAATAAAGAGCTCCTCGAACGCTGGGTGCAGCGGCAATTTACCGATGTGAGAGACCACAGACCTCGCGGGAGCGAGATGGATAATCCATTCGTCGCAGGGCGACGCGCCTTGCGTTTGGCAACTCAAAACAGCGATGGCGTTTCCACGCGCGCATTTACCTCCCTGTGGTTCAACGGTCAATTGCGCGATCATTTGTGCGATGAGGATCCGCGACCGCAACAGCTCAGGGCCATAGCTTGAGGTAAGTCCATGGAATTTTGGCCTCCCTGGCTATTGCCGAGAGGCACGAGGCGTCCTAAGACGTGAAACGACATGATCCCTCTAATCATAAGCGTCCACGACGTCTGGGCAGTCTTGTCGAAATTTTACTTCAAGCTCCTACGAGTTCTCGAAGTTGTATCCCTGTCATTTCGCAAGATACCGGATTTGACCCTGGCGACGACGTCGACCACAAGACGTTTCGCGTGATAATGTACTTCACCAATCTCGTCGAGAAGAGAGGCGGCGGACGACGACGACGGGGCCAATCGCCGTTCGGTGGCTCGCGATACTCTTCGAGCTCTTAAAGATGCAGTCAGTCGCTGAGGCCCCGCTAAGCATCCTGCTATGTCGCAAACCGCTGTGCGGAAGTCCTAGAGAGCTTGGAGAACCTTGTACACCGGCTGTCTCACGTTCAAGACTATCGCGCTCTGTTGGGCGGCTCCTAGCCGTTGAGCAGACAAATGCGTCGCTATATGCGAAGGTGGAGCGCTCGACGCCGTTAGAGATGGAGTTCGTTGCACTCCGTGCTCAAAACCAAGGTCTAGCCTCTGGGTGGTCGAGCGTCTGTGTACGCTGCTCCGGCGCCAACGCTTCCACGTTTACTTGCGCTGTATCGGCTTGAGCTTGCCCACA